ACACTTCCTATGCTCACGGGGCTGTTGCCTGAATTCGAGGATCTTCGACTTCAGCGCATCGCCGTGGAAGCGACCTCAGCGCTTTGAATGGCAGCACATCAAGCGCTGCCTGCTAGTTGTATGAGCAGTTGAGCCGGGTTCGCCACGGGGCGCGGCAAGCAACTCTCGTCGAGTCGACGTTAGCAACTCCGCGTTAATCGTGCTTGCCAGGCTGCCATGCAGGGCCCTACACACTCGATTCTGTCCGAGGTGTTGCACAGCCTCGCGGCAGGTACGGTCTGAAACTGCGAAGATGTAAGTGCAACTCGAGGAGCCGATCTTACCCGGCAGGAAGAAGGCACCCAGCAACTATTTCTTCGGAGGCGTTCTCCAAGTTGGGGCATGGCAAATCGATCAGAAGGCCAGCAGCCTTGCCTCGAGCTTTGACGGATGTGAGCTGCTAGCTCAGACAGGCTGGCTGAAGACACGGACATGTTGCGGACAAGTGCTCGAATGTGTTGTGCCCGATAGCCATTGGAATGCACTTGCCTGGGCCAGCATCCCGCTGTCTTTTCATCGTCCGGCGGCAACATCCGTTTCCTTTGTAAGTTGTACTCGTACCTGCAATACCTGCAGCTCTCTGTGTCGCCTAGAAAGACGTACAAGTCAAGGTGCTTGCGCTGTGGCCTTAGATCGCATGCGGTCTGTTGCAAGCCTGCTTGGGCTGATCTGTCACGAGAAGGAGTTCTGGTATTCGAAACGACGTCATAGCAAGCTGTGCCGACTGGAAGCACCGTTCTGTGTTGCGCAAAGTGCTGTGAAGTTCGGTCAGCCCGAGTGCCGTCTACTCGATGCAGTGCACAGCTTCCTCCAGTGACTCGTCCAGTGCAAGTGGGCCTGCATGCAGAGCATGCGGAGCAGTGTGTTACCGACAGTTTGTTCAGATTGGTCTGGTCATGCTTTTGTTTGATTTGCTTGGTTCTATCTTGAGGGGTGCGAGCCACAGCCGGCCGCAGCTACTGCAGTCGCACGTGCCATGCAGGCGATGCAGCCATGTGATGCTGAGACTGGTGCCTTGCGGATTGCACTTTGCTTCTTGACTGAGCCAGCAACAACCCCTGCAATGCGCAAAGCTTCGCTGCATGCGCAGGCCTGTGACATCTTCAGACTCACGATTGCTAGTGCTAGTATGGCTCCCGCAGATGGCGAATGGGTGCTCAGCGGATCTCAGCGGGAAGGGCTTGCAAGTCTGCCGCTCCAGTTAGTCGCGGAAAATTTCGGCGTTTCTCCCGAGTTTGCGGCAGGTAATCCCAAGGCTCTGCGAGGTGCGGCAGTTCGCTCTCATAGAGTTGACTTTCGCAACTCCAGGTTGATTGAGCTGTTCAGCGCGCCATGCACAGCCCGACGTTCTATACTTCCCTCAGGTGTGCATGCAGTGTGTCAGACAAGACCCGGTCGCCCATCCCAGCTTCGAACACCAGGTGCTTCTGTGCTGCGGTGCACCACAGGAGTTGCAGAACCGGACTAGCAGACAAAGCCGTGTGTGACTCAACCACAGGGTGGACCGAAGTTAGGTTCGCAGCTGAGGCACAGTTCAAAGCGGAGATGTGGGGATTTCTTGTTCGGAGACACTTCCTACGCTCACGGGGCTGTTGCCTGAAGGAACTACATTCGAGGATCTTCGACTGCAGCGCATCGCCGTGGAAGCGACCTTAGCGCTTTGAATGGCAGCACATCCAGCGCTGCCAGCTAGTTGTATGAGCAGTTGAGCCGGGTTCGCCACGCGGTGCGGCAAGCAACTCTCATCGAGTCGACGTTAGCAATTCCGGGTTAATCGTGCTTGCCAGGCTGCCATGCAGGGCCCTACACACTCGATTCTGTCCGAAGTGGTGCGCTTTCAGCAGGTTCGCATTGTCCACGACCACCCACAACCCTGAGCTTCGAACGCCAGGTGCTCACGTGCTGCGGTGCACCACAAGAATTGTGAAAGCGGATTAGCAGACAAAGCCGTGTGCCAAGCAGCCACAGGGTGGACTGAAGTTAGCTTCGCAGCTGAGGCACAGTGCAAGTTAGGAATGTGCGGATTTCTTGTTGGGAGACACTTCCTATGCTCACGGGGCTGTTGCCTGAATTCGAGGATCTTCGACTGCAGCGCATCGCCGTGGAAGCGACCTCAGCGCTTTGAATTTCAGCACATCCAGCGCTGCCAGCTAGTTGTATGAGCAGTTGAGCCGGGTTCGCCACGCGGTGCGGCAAGCAACTCTCGTCGAGTCGACGTTGGCAACTCCGGGTTAATCGTGCTTGCCAGGCTGCCATGCAGGGCCCTACACACTCGATTCTGTCCGAGGTGTTGTGCTTCATGCTCGTTTTTGCTTTGGCCACGACCGCTCACAACTCCCAGCTTCGAACACCAGGTGCTCGCATGCTGCGTTGCACCAAAAGAGCCAGAGAACTGGAACTAGCGGACAAAGCCTTATGACTCTGCAGTCGAAACATCAGAATTCTGGTCGAAGCTGGGCTTGCAGCTGGCGCATCTTCCAAAGCGTGGATGCCGCTTTTCCCGGCCATGAGACACTTCCTGTATCTTCGCATACTTGCAGGGACATTGCCTGAGATTCTGAGATGGAACGGAGCTTCTGCCGATGCACTTTTAAATAACATCAAAAACAGATCATCAGCGGTTGGACTGCCAGCAGACCAAGCCTGGTCAGCAGTGCGAGCAACTAAGTGTCGTCGAACGGGGCGGCATGTTTCTCTCATCGAGACTCACTTTTGCGAATCACTCTTGATGGCCGCGGTTTGGAGATGAAAAGTCGCACAGCCTCGCGGCAGGTACGGTCTGAAACTGCGAAGATGTAAGTGCAACTCGAGGAGCAGATCTTACCCGGCGAGAAGAAGGCACCCAGAAACTATTTCTTCGGAGCTCCAAGTTGGGGCATGGCAAATCGATCAGAAGGCCAGCAGCCTTGCCTCGAGCTTTGACGGATGTGAGCTGCTAGCTCAGACAGGCTGGCTGAAGACACGGACATGTTGCGGACAAGTGCTCGAATGTGTTGTGCCCGATAGCCATTGGAATGCACTTGCCTGGGCCAGCATCCCGCTGTCTTTTCATCGTCCGGTGGCAACAGCCGTTTCCTTTGTAAGTTGTACTCGTACCTGCAATACCTGCAGCTCTCTGTGTCGCCTAGAAAGACGTACAAGTCAAGGTGCTTGCGCCGTGGCCTTGGATCGCATGCGGTCTGTTGCAAGCCTGCTTGGGCTGATCTGTCACGAGAAGGAGTTCTGGTATTCGAAACGACGTCATAGCAAGCTGTGCCGACTGGAAGCACCGTTCTGTGTTGCGCAAAGTGCTGTGAGGTTCGGTCAGCCCAAGTGCCGTCTGCTCGATGCAGTGCACAGCTTCCTCCAGTGACTCGTCCAGTGCAAGTGGGCCTGCATGCAGAGCATGCGAAGCAGTGTGTTACCGACCATTTGTTCAGATTGGTCTGGTCATGCTTTTGTTTGGTTTGTTTGGTTCTATCTTGAGGGGCGAAACAGCCGGCCGCAGCTACTGCCGCTGCATGTGCCTTGCAGGCGATGCAGCCATGTAATGCTGAGACTGGTGCCTTGCGGATTGCATTTTGCTTCTTGACTGAGCCAGCAACAACCCCTGCGATGCGCGAAGCTTCGCTGCATGCGCAGGCCTGTGACATCTTCAGACTCACGATTGCTAGTGCTAGTATGGCTCCCGCAGATTGCGAATGGGTGCTCAGCGGGAAGGGCTTGCAAGTCTGCCGCTCCAGTTAGTCGCGGGAATTTCGGCGTTTCTCCCGAGTCTTCAGCAGGTAATCCCAAGGCTCTGCGAGGTGCGGCAGTTGGCTCTCATCGAGTTGACTTTTGCAACTCCAGGCTGATTGAGCTGTCCAGCGCGCCATGCACAGCCCGACGTTCTATACTTACCTCAGGTGTGCCTGCAGTGTGTCAGACAAGACCCGGTCGCCCATCCCAGCTTCGAACACCAGGTGCTTCTGTGCTGCGGTGCACCACAGGAGTTGCAGAACCGGACTAGCAGACAAAGCCGTGTGTGACTCAACCACAGGGTGGACCGAAGTTAGGTTCGCAGCTGAGGCACAGTTCAAAGCGGAGATGTGGGGATTTCTTGTTCGGAGACACTTCCTACGCTCACGGGGCTGTTGCCTGAAGGAACTACATTCGAGGATCTTCGACTGCAGCGCATCGCCGTGGAAGCGACCTTAGCGCTTTGAATGGCAGCACATCCAGCGCTGCCAGCTAGTTGTATGAGCACTTGATCCGGGTTGGCCACGCGGTGCGGCAAGCAACTCTCATCGAGTCGACGTTGGCAACTCCGGGTTAATCGTGCTTGCCAGGCTGCCATGCAGGGCCTTGTACGGTCTGAAACCGTGAAGATGTAGCCGGTCTTACCCGGCGAGAGGTAGATAACCAGAAGCTGTTTCTTTCGAGGCGTTCTCCAAGTTGGGGCACCGGGGTGCCACACAGTTCTTTGCAATCTAAAGCCTGCACGGAATTCTTGCGGAATGCGGATTTCGAGAGGCCACTTCTCCTAGCTGCCGGTGCTCCACGCGAGCTTCGGTGCCCCGCAATTCCTTCAAGAGCTGGAGAGCTGGACTAGCAGACAAGGCGGTGTGTCAAGTGACCACAAGGTGGACCACAGGTAGGTTCGCAGCTCACGCAGAGTTCAACGCGGGGATGCCGCGTTCCCTGTTGTGATGCAATCTGCGCGCTCATGTGGATGTTGGCTGAGACGCACGCGGAGGAGTCACGTGTCGATCGATTTGTGCACATGCTGTGGGAAGGCTCCGCTGACATCAACCGAATGGAGCTCGCAGGCATTCTTGGGAGAGTGGTCTTGTCGCCGTTAGTCTGCCAGTCTAAGTGATCCGCAGCAGATGCCTTGCAAAGCATAGCAAAACAGCTGCCCCGACATGCTTCTGTTGCAAAATCTGGGAGCTGCCTGAGTGGTACAGCAGGCCTGCACGGACCAGAGCGTCTCTGACCTCTACATGCCGGTGCAGGCGGAGCGCCTGACGTCGCGGGTGCCTTCCCGCAGAAGCTGCCAGTCGGGGATGCGTTGCCCCAGTGTCGTGTTGCACACAGTCAGTGTGGCCGGGACAGACGACCCAGCTTCAGATGCCAGCTGTTGCGGAGCTTTCTCGTGCAAAGCGGAGCAGTCCTTGACGCCCTGTGAGGTGCTTATGACTGTAGCAGTTCGGAGGGGGTCTCAAGTTGAAAGCAGTTGCCGCATCCTGGCCAGTATGCCATTGCCGTTCTGTTGTGCATGGCCGGTGCAGGACAAAGCTCGTCACGGCCACATGTGTGCACGAAGGAAGGCTGAGTGCTGCTAGCTTTTGAGAGTATATCCCTGCACACATGATCGCTATGCTGTGAGGAAATGCCAGGACTGTACTTGCCGTTGCTTGTGTTGCCAGGAGGTTCGACCGAGTTGTCGCGCAGGCGTAAAACGACCTGGGCACAACCAGCCGAGCTTGCACCATCCGAGGTCGGATTTCGAACATCCACCTAGGCCGCCTCACCGGTATCATCGTGGTAAGTTGATCAAATGCCCTGCGCACATGTCACTACATCGTTTCGGCGCCTTTGCTTTGCGAGGTCATGTCGCCTGCAGCAGGCGGTCGTCTGTGTTCATCCCTCATCCCTCAAGTAGTCTCAGGTGGCCTCAGCGGTCTTGCAATTTGCAGCGAAGGGTCGTCCGCGAGTGTGTCGGGGAAGCTGGCCGTGGCTGTGTGCAAGACCAATGATTCATCAGCTGCCACCGCCCGGGGCAATGCACACCTTGGTCCAAGCAGCCGACCTCGCAGCATCCAAGATTGGACTGCGGACCCACACTTACACTCGCACTTACAACAAGATGTTGCGTTCATACTTGAAGACAAGCCGCATCCGGGACAGTATTCTGTTGCCGTTCTGTTGTGCACGCGCTGGCACATGGCCATGCGTGAGGCGGCTATTCGCAGCTTCGAACTCCAGGTGAGCACTTAATTCAGGGTCGCTGGGGATTGCAGCACGTTGCTCTCATCGAGGCGATTTTGCCAACTCCTTGGTGATTCGGTTCGTCACAGTGCCGCGCAGAGGCCTGAATTCGCGAATCTGCCCCAGCAGTTGTGTTTTCTGCATGTGTTCCCGCTCTCCCTTTCGAATACCCAATGCTCGCGTGCTGCGCGCCTCAGGAGTTGCAGAACCGGATTAGTCGACAAAGCCGTGTGTCAAGCAACCACGAGGCTGGACTGGCGCTAGGTTCGCAGCTGAGGCACAGTTCAAAGCGGAGATGTGGGGATTTCTTGTTCGGAGACACTTCCTATGCTCACGGGGCTGTTGCCTGAAGGAACTACATTCGAGGATCTTCGACTGCAGCGCATCAAAGTGGAAGCGACCTCAGCGCTTTGAATGGCAGCACATCCAGCGCTGCCAGCTAGTTGTACGAGCAGTTGAGCCGGGTTCAGCACGCGGTGCGGCAAGCAACTCTCATCGAGTCGACGTTGGCAATTCCGGGTTAATCGTGCTAGCAGACCAAGCCTGGTCAGCAGTGCGAGCAACTAAGTGTCGTCGAACGGGGCGGCATGTTTCTCTCATCGAGACTCACTTTTGCGAATCACTCTTGATGGCCGCGGTTTGGAGATGAAAAGTCGCATAGCCTCGCGGCAGGTACGGTCTGAAACTGCGAAGATGTAAGTGCAACTCGAGGGGCCGATCTTACCCGGCGAGAAGAAGGCACCCAGAAACTATTTCTTCGGAGGCGTTCTCCAAGTTGGGGCACGGCAAATCGATCAGAAGGCCAGCAGCCTTGCCTCGAGCTTTGACGGATGTGAGCTGCTAGCTCAGACAGGCTGGCTGAAGACACGGACATGTTGCGGACAAGTGCTCGAATGTGTTGTGCCCGATAGCCATTGGAATGCACTTGCCCGGGCCGCCATGAGGGGAGTTCTTGGCTTGGAAACGATCTCACAGCATCTGTGTCCGGCTCAGGGCAGCGATCTATGTCGCGCAAGGTGATGTGAAGTACGGTTGGTACTTGACGCAATCCTACACATTCCGCCAGTGACTGGTCCAGTGCCAGGGGGGCTGCATGTAGAGCAGTTTGTTGCCGAAAGAATGTTCGGATTGGTCACGCCATGGGTTTCGCTTTGCTTGCTTCTATCTTGAGAGGCGGGAACCAGAGAAACTGCAGGATACTGCAGCCGCATGTGCCTTGCAGGCGATGCAGCCATGTGATGCTGAGACTGGCATCCAGCGAACTGCATTTTGCTTCTTGACTGAGCCAGCAACAACCCCTGCGATGCGCAAAGCCTCGCTGCATGCGCAGGCCTGTGACATCTTCAGGCTCACGATTGCTGGTGCTAGCATGGCTCCCGCAGATGGCGAATGGGTTCTCAGCCGGAACAGCTTGCAAGTCTGCCACTCCAGCTAGTCGCAGATATTCCGGAAAGCCGTGGAGTTGTCTGCTGATGAGAGCGGCGGATCCGCGACGACGGTTGGTCGTTCCGGGCGTTCCTTCATTCTATGCGAGCTTTCGCGACTGCAGGTTTATTCCGCTCCGCACGCTGGCACGGGGAGCTCTGCACAATCAATTCTGTCCGAGCTGGTGTCCTTTGAGCATTTTTGCTGTGCCTACGAGAGGCCACATCCCGCTGTCTTTTCATCGTCCGGTGGCAACAGCCGTTTCCCTTTAAGTTGTACTCGTACCTGCAATACCTGCAGCTCTCTGTGTCGCCTAGAAAGACGTACAAGTCAACGTGCTTCCGCCGTGGCTTTAGATCGCATGCGGTCTGTTGCAAGCCTGCTTGGGCTGATCTGTCACGAGAGGGAGTTCAGCACACGATGGCAGAACCAGTCTAGTATCCGAACTCGCATTTAGGAATTTAGGACCGGCACTCATTTTTCAGATGTCGTTTTCCTTGTTGGAGGGCGGGCTCGCATTAGAGGTAGTCAAAACGACCCATCATGTAAATCCGCTGCTTCAAAAAATCAATCGATAGGATCTGTTTTCCGGATGTCTGATCGCCTGAGCGGTGTTGTCGGTCACCTGCAGCAGGCCGTCGTCTTGGTTGCAATGGTCTTGCAGGTGCGCAATGTCCGCTATGAGCCTGCTGGGCCCGGCCTCGGTTTGCAAGACCAAGGCTTGATCAGCTCCCGCTGCGGTCGAAGCCTTGTGGGGCAATGGCGGCGCTGCGAAGTTGCTCGCTTGTGCTCCGCTCCGACACGGTGCCGCCGAGGCCGGCCAAGTAGCTTTGGAGATCGGGTCTGACATGCACACTCAGGTAAACTTATCCACAGCTTCCTAAGCGAGACCAGAGTCTAGTTTCGGGTGGATGTCGGTGATAAAAGTTACACAAAGCCAAGGCTTGATCAGCTGGTCAAGTCTTCCATCTTCTGCTTGCTGTTCTGCCGGTGCTGATTCCGTTCAAGACCAAGGCCTAGGCAGCTGCCGCAACCCAGGCCGAAGCACGCCTTGGAACGACCGGCCAAGTAGCATTGGACATCGGGTCTTGAACGCACACTTATGTAAACTTATTTCGGCAGCCTCTGTTAGGCTCACTCCTGTGAGGTAGTCGTCACCAGTCTTGCGACGGGCAGGCGAGCATCCTCTGTGAGACTGTTGGGGATGCCAACCATGCCTTGTGCAACCCAGGCGTGAGCAGAGATCGCAGGTCCCGGGGAAGAACCTCTTGGCCTTGGGCCATGTTACAGCCGTGTGGAAGAAGCGGTGCCTGATGGACCACGGCTTGACGCATGCTGACAGTCTTCCCCCCAGGGCACCCGAACCATTGGAATACCATTTCTCGGTCAAACATCCTGCTGTCCTTAGGAGGCAAATTCTGCAGGTGACTGCACCTGCCCTGCCATGCTGACCGTTCGCTACGCAGGCTCTACACGTACACGCAGGTGTGCTTCGAGTACCTCTCGGTGTCGCGTAGCTGGGCCCAGCACAGAACGAACTGCAAGTCAGCGAGCTTTCATTACGGTCTTGGATTACAAGCCGTGGGTTGCCAGCCTGCTCGACTGATTTGTCGCGAGAGCGAGTTCTAGGCTCCGAAACGCTCCCATAGCAAAGCTGTGGCGACTACAAGCAGCGTTCTGTGTCGCCCGAGGCGCTATGAAGTTCGGTTGGCCGGCGTGCCGGATACTTGACGGAATGGCCAGATGCCGCCCGATGCTACCAGTGAGTGGTCGCATTCACGAGGTAGCGCATGTAGAGCAGCTTGTTGCCGACAGATTGATCGAGTGGGTGTGGCCATGGGTTTCGCTTTGCTTGGTTCTATTTTGAGGGGCTCGAGCCGCAGTCACTGCAGTCGCACGTGCCATGCTGCCGATGCAGCCAGGTGATGCTGAGACTGGCATCCAGCGAAGTGCATTTTGCTTCTTGACTCAGCTAGCAACAACCCCTGCGATGCGCGAAGCCTCGTCGCATGCGCAGGCCTGTGACATCTTCGGGCTCACGATTGCTAGTGCTAGTATCGCTCCCGCAGATGGCGAATGGGTTCTCAGCGGCAACAGCTTGCAAGTCTGTCACTCCAGCTAGTCGCAGATATTCCGGAAAGCCGTGGAGTTGTCTGCTGATGAGAGCGGCGGATCCGCGAGCAAGGATCCAGGTCGTTGCTCTCGGCAGCTTGCAAGTCCCTGCCGTCGCCGCCCTCTGCCTTTGCCTGGTTAAGACATTCCGGTGCGATCCAGAGTGCCAGCCGTGCCTCGAACTTTGACGGACCTGAGCTGATAGCCGGATAGCCGCTCAGCCCGGCAGGCCGGGAGAATCCGAACGCGCAGGCTGACACTGCAAACTTGCCCGTGCACAGGTAGGCCAGGTAGGCCGGCAAGGAGCATGGTTTAGGCGGTATAGGGTCATGGTGGCATGTACTTCGTCTCGGGGTCTCAGCGCCGCCGCCCAGCTTCCCAGTCCTTGCGGTGCCTTGTTAGCTCATGCAAGACTTGCTGCACCCCAGGCACCGGCTCAGGCAGCTGCCTTGCGAGGATCGAAAGATGCTGCCGCCGCATGCCTGAGGCCCTTCTTTCCGCACTGCTGTGAGCAGGTCCTAAGCGCCACCGCGCAAGGCGGCCAACAAATCTTCGAGGAAATGATCAGCATCAGAGTCGCATGGATGTGGCAAACCTCGGCATCTGGGCGCTCAGTCGACAGTCGACAGTGCCCGCAGCTCCAAGCTCCAAGATCGGCGAAGAAGTTGGACCACGCGTAGGCGCTCTGCCAGCAATCCTCGGCGCCTGCCCTCAACGCTTCCAGCTGATCGGGCTGGTGCCAGCGGAGCACATGCAAAAGAAGTCTACCTGGCATTTGGGATGCTTGAGCCAGCTTGGAGCCAGCACAGTCAACACT